AATTTTTTTATTTTTTAATTTATCAATATACAGTGTAGTTGATTTTCATGTCCCTTTACCAATTCCTTCTTTTCCCTCTTCCCTCTCCCTGCCTCCATCCTGACCTTTTGAGCCTGTTTCCACAACATTAACATTGAGATGAAATTGCAAATCTCCTAGGATCGTTGAGTGCATATGTAAAAGCATTTCCCCTGGTATACATGTTACCCAATGTTTACTGAATTTGGATTTGCAGGTAGGAGGAATCAGGGGCGTCAGGATCTTGTTTGGCTGGCCCTTATTCTGTGAGATTGTACGTGATTTCCCAGGCTCCCAACTCACCCCCTCAGACCGAACAGTTCCAGATGGCTACAGAAGTCCATATGTTACAGGGAGGGGCTTATCTGGAAAAATGTAGCCAGTCTCCAGTAACTCACCAACTTCTCTTTGACCTCTGCAGCCTGTCTTGGGATGTCGTCTGGAATGGGCTAACTCTGTGGCAGGAGATGAGGGGCACAGCAGATACTCACAGAGTCAAAATCTGAGATGATCTCATTGAGGAAGCGCAGACACTCAATGCCGCCGTTATTGATGCTCTCCTCTGTGTAGAAGTCAGCAAAGTTGGGCAGGGAGGCAAACATGACTCCAATCTCATCGTAAGACTGGCTGTACAGCTCCTAAAAAGAGGCAGGGCCAGAGAGCTCAAAGAACACCTGTCTGAATGATGATGTGCCAGAGAAGCGAATTGCTCTTCCACATACATGACATGGATGCTCAGCTTTTTGGCCCCATGCATCTCTCAGGTTATCCCAACTTTGAATAGTTAGAAAAAAGCTCATTACTACTTTGGATAAATGAAAAAACCAGCTTCTCTAATTCCTGTAACAGCCCTAGCTAGAAGAAAGGGTACAGCGGAGCTGGGAACCATTCTGTTTTGAGAAGATCACAGTTGACAGAAAGGTGGGCTCTAGCTGTGGCCTTGTCACCTGAAATGCAGCCTTAGAGATGTATGGCCCACTTAAGCAGTGTCTACAGCAGTGCCCTTTATGAAATCCCTGAAACTTCTCTTTTGCTTATATTGTGGTTGCTGGTTAGGTTCAGCCCTACCTGGGCCCCAATCCTATATCTTGAGAAGACCTGGGCCCAGAGGGGCTCCCTGGAACAAAAGCAGATGAAGATAGGTGGCCTCATGGCTCCAGGTGTCAGCATGAGGACACAACCCTCACCTCATCTCTTTTCTTGGACCCCAGGAAATGGCGTGCCACGTGCTCAGGCAACATGTTGGTGACCAAAGCCTCATTCCAGCGCCGCATCTCGTAGACACGTTCCTTCTGGTCATGGACCTCAATCTTCCACAAGAATAGTGTCCGTGCCAGTTTTTCCACCTACAGCCACGAACAAGGCAAGATGTGTGCACTAAGCTGGCCATTTGATGTAAAGAAGAAAAACAAACTTGAATGGAGGGGTTCCACTTGGCAAAACTGGAAGGAAGATGGCTAAACAGCAAGGGAAGTAAGACCCTGAAAGGATTCTCCTAATCAAAAAGGCCACATTAGGGGCCGGCCCGGTGGCGCATTGCTACAGTGCGCCGCTTGGGAGCGCGGTGGCGCTCCCGCCGAGGGTTCGGATCCCACATACAGACCGGTTCCCGCTCACTGGCTGAGCGAGGTGTGGGAGCAACACCGAGGGTTGCGATCCCGTTGCCGGTCCCGGTCCGGTCCGGGCGCGACACTGAGGGTTGTGATCCGTTGCCAGACACGAAAAAAGACAAAAAGGAAAAAAAAAAAAAAAAAGGCCACATTATAGCTGCAGTGAGGATCCTAGCTCCTGCGGTTACAGCAGCGATCCAAAAAGGGCTAACCAGTTAGCTTGGTTAGAGCATGGCCTTGTAACCCCAACGTCAAGGTTCAGATCCCTTGGCTAGCCAAAAACAAAAGAACTCAAAACAGGAGAGGTCCAAGAAGTCTTCAGTATGTGTGGGGCCTCCTGGGACCTAATTTTAGCTAGAGGTCGATCTTTTTTTTTTGTCTTTTTCCGTGTCCGGCAACGGATCACAACCCTCAGTGTTGCCCCCGTACCAGACCGGGGACCGGCAACGGGATTGCAACCCTCGGTGTTGCTCCTGCGCCTCGCTCAGCCAGTGAGCGGGAACCGGTCTGTATGTGGGATCCGAACCCTCGGGCGGGAGCGCCGCCGCGCTTCCCAAGCGGCGCACTTATCCAGTGCGCCACCGGGCCGGCCCAGAGGTCGATCTTTTGGAAGGGGCAGCAGTGGGGATCTCCCAGCCTAGGACAGAGTCCCCATATCCAAATGGCTCCATATGGCTGAGTGGTGGCTTAGGAAGGCGGTACTTTCCCAGGATAACCACTGGGGGGCACTTGAGCTAACATGGAGCAGTAAGTACCTTGTAGGGATCCTTCCCTGCTCTCTCTTCTTCCCTTCTCTCTTTTCTTTTCCTTTTAGCCAAACAAAAATTTCATCAGCTCCCTTGCCTTTCTCTTCTGGCTCCCTGGTCAGTGTGTTAGTGACCCCCAGCACCAGGGTGAATGCAGAGGCCATGAGCCCCTGGCCTAGGGAACAGATTTCATCCAGGCTTCTGTGCCAGCACTCCATCTTCTCCCACCCCCATGCTTCTTTTAGTGTCCTGGAGGAGGTTAGAAGGAAGAGATAAAGAATTGTCTTCCTGAAATTACTGAGGAAGACACCAGAATACAGAGAAGATGGTGGCTTGACCAGGGACACATGCCATGTTGGGTAAAGGGAACCAGTGTTTCTTAGAAGCTTCAGTAATTAGATCCTAGGACGGCTTCTCAGGAGGCCCTGGAGAGTTGGGACCACAAGAGGAGAGGAGGGCGTGTAGGCACTCACGTGGCGGGAGAAGTAGTAAAAGCTCAGCATCATGATGATGATCATCACTGTCATCGAGTACTTAGAAGGCACCAGGGACAGTCTGCTGGGCAGAGAGGAATGCAACTGAGAGAGCACCCATGCTGCCCTATTGGAAGAGAGTTTTATTCCCTCCTACTGGGTTGTGCTGTTTCCTCCCATCCTAGGCCCCAGAAGCTTCCCCCAACTCCTTAGGCTCCTTCACATCAAGTCAGACTCTCCCTGGACAGCAAAGCTTTCTTAAATCATTGGGCTCCTACCTAATGGCCAAGCAACTCCTGGCCCCTCCAGGCTGTACTTGGTATTCACATCAGGGCTGATCCCCAGATACTTAAATAAACACTGCATCACCTGCCTGATCACAGAAGTAGTTACAACCATGTAGGAACTTGGAGAAGGGTGAGACTAACATCACAGTGACGAGAGCAATGTGACCAGGGCACAATTTTACCATGGCTTTTTATAACTCATCCATATTTTTGTGTGGAGCTATAGTTAATTTTCATTACTTTATAGTATTCTATTGTATGACTATACCACAATTTATTTGTCCATTTACTGTTGTCATTTGGGTTGTTTTCATTTGAGTGTGTGTGTCTAATATGAACAATGCTGCTATAGACAGTCTTGTGCATATATCCTGGGACATGTGTGTGCACAAATTTCTCTATGTCTGTAAATTTGGAATTGCCACATCACAGATCTATTTTCAATTTTACTAAATAACTCCAGGTTTTTTCTAAAGTGGTTGTACCAATTTATACTCCCACCAAGAGTACGAGATACCATTGTACCCAACACCGTCAGACTTTAATTTCTGCCAAACTGGCAGGTATGTATCGGTATTTTGTTATGGTTTTAATTTGTACTTCCCTGATTACTTGAATGCCCTTCATTTGTTAGTGGCCATTCAAATCTCTTCTTTTGTGAAGGACCTATTCGGATGTTTTACCCATCCTCTTTTAAGTAATTTTTTTTTTTTTTTTTTTACCTTACTTGGCTTATTCAAGTCACCGAAGCATGAAATCTGAAACTTNACTGCTACAGTGCGCCGCTTGGGAGTGCGGTGGCGCTCCCGCCGAGGGTTCGGATCCCACAAAGAGACCGGTTCCCGCTCACTGGCTGAGCGAGATGTGGGAGCAACACCGAGGGTTGCGATCCCGTTGCCGGTCCCGGTCCGGTCCGGGCGCGACACTGAGGGTTGTGATCCGTTGCCAGACACGAAAAAAGACAAAAAGGAAAAAAAAAAAAAAAAAGGCCACATTATAGCTGCAGTGAGGATCCTAGCTCCTGCGGTTACAGCAGCGATCCAAAAAGGGCTAACCAGTTAGCTTGGTTAGAGCATGGCCTTGTAACCCCAACGTCAAGGTTCAGATCCCTTGGCTAGCCAAAAACAAAAGAACTCAAAACAGGAGAGGTCCAAGAAGTCTTCAGTATGTGTGGGGCCTCCTGGGACCTAATTTTAGCTAGAGGTCGATCTTTTTTTTTTGTCTTTTTCCGTGTCCGGCAACGGATCACAACCCTCAGTGTTGCCCCCGTACCAGACCGGGGACCGGCAACGGGATTGCAACCCTCGGTGTTGCTCCCGCGCCTCGCTCAGCCAGTGAGCGGGAACCGGTCTGTATGTGGGATCCGAACCCTCGGGCGGGAGCGCCGCCGCGCTTCCCAAGCGGCGCACTTATCCAGTGCGCCACCGGGCCGGCCCAGAGGTCGATCTTTTGGAAGGGGCAGCAGTGGGGATCTCCCAGCCTAGGACAGAGTCCCCATATCCAAATGGCTCCATATGGCTGAGTGGTGGCTTAGGAAGGCGGTACTTTCCCAGGATAACCACTGGGGGGCACTTGAGCTAACATGGAGCAGTAAGTACCTTGTAGGGATCCTTCCCTGCTCTCTCTTCTTCCCTTCTCTCTTTTCTTTTCCTTTTAGCCAAACAAAAATTTCATCAGCTCCCTTGCCTTTCTCTTCTGGCTCCCTGGTCAGTGTGTTAGTGACCCCCAGCACCAGGGTGAATGCAGAGGCCATGAGCCCCTGGCCTAGGGAACAGATTTCATCCAGGCTTCTGTGCCAGCACTCCATCTTCTCCCACCCCCATGCTTCTTTTAGTGTCCTGGAGGAGGTTAGAAGGAAGAGATAAAGAATTGTCTTCCTGAAATTACTGAGGAAGACACCAGAATACAGAGAAGATGGTGGCTTGACCAGGGACACATGCCATGTTGGGTAAAGGGAACCAGTGTTTCTTAGAAGCTTCAGTAATTAGATCCTAGGACGGCTTCTCAGGAGGCCCTGGAGAGTTGGGACCACAAGAGGAGAGGAGGGCGTGTAGGCACTCACGTGGCGGGAGAAGTAGTAAAAGCTCAGCATCATGATGATGATCATCACTGTCATCGAGTACTTAGAAGGCACCAGGGACAGTCTGCTGGGCAGAGAGGAATGCAACTGAGAGAGCACCCATGCTGCCCTATTGGAAGAGAGTTTTATTCCCTCCTACTGGGTTGTGCTGTTTCCTCCCATCCTAGGCCCCAGAAGCTTCCCCCAACTCCTTAGGCTCCTTCACATCAAGTCAGACTCTCCCTGGACAGCAAAGCTTTCTTAAATCATTGGGCTCCTACCTAATGGCCAAGCAACTCCTGGCCCCTCCAGGCTGTACTTGGTATTCACATCAGGGCTGATCCCCAGATACTTAAATAAACACTGCATCACCTGCCTGATCACAGAAGTAGTTACAACCATGTAGGAACTTGGAGAAGGGTGAGACTAACATCACAGTGACGAGAGCAATGTGACCAGGGCACAATTTTACCATGGCTTTTTATAACTCATCCATATTTTTGTGTGGAGCTATAGTTAATTTTCATTACTTTATAGTATTCTATTGTATGACTATACCACAATTTATTTGTCCATTTACTGTTGTCATTTGGGTTGTTTTCATTTGAGTGTGTGTGTCTAATATGAACAATGCTGCTATAGACAGTCTTGTGCATATATCCTGGGACATGTGTGTGCACAAATTTCTCTATGTCTGTAAATTTGGAATTGCCACATCACAGATCTATTTTCAATTTTACTAAATAACTCCAGGTTTTTTCTAAAGTGGTTGTACCAATTTATACTCCCACCAAGAGTACGAGATACCATTGTACCCAACACCGTCAGACTTTAATTTCTGCCAAACTGGCAGGTATGTATCGGTATTTTGTTATGGTTTTAATTTGTACTTCCCTGATTACTTGAATGCCCTTCATTTGTTAGTGGCCATTCAAATCTCTTCTTTTGTGAAGGACCTATTCGGATCTTTTACCCATCCTCTTTTAAGTAATTTTTTTTTTTTTTTACCTTACTTGGCTTATTCAAGTCACCGAAGCATGAAATCTGAAACTTCTGATTACTTGAATGCCCTTCATTTGTTAGTGGCCATTCAAATCTCTTCTTTTGTGAAGGACCTATTCGGATGTTTTACCCATCCTCTTTTAAGTAATTTTTTTTTTTTTTTTTTTACCTTACTTGGCTTATTCAAGTCACCGAAGCATGAAATCTGAAACTTTAGAGGTAGAGGGACCTTAGAGAGAACTTCTACTTCAATATCCTCCTCAAGAGATGAAACTGAAACTCGGGGAAACACCTGCCTGTGGCCTCATAGAGAACTACTTACTGCCACAGGGTCAGAATCCAGGTCTTCTAGTCCCAGTGATATGTTCTTTCCTCCTCATTTTCCCGCTGTCTGTCTGTTCTGCCTTCCAGTTCAATGCAGCTGTCATGCACTTGGCAATTCCTTCTCACTTCACCTCCTTCCAGCCTCCTTAGCCCACCCTCAACACCACACTGCTTTTGCTCTCCGAGCTCACTGTCTTTTGACACAGAAGAGGCCCAGATATCTGGGACCTTACTAGAGTTATTCTGTCTCTGCTCCAGCCTCCTAGAGAAACATGCCAACCCCTCTAACCTGCACTTCCCAGATCCCGTGCCTCTGGAAGGGTGAGATCATGGGGCTTTGGCCTGTTGTCATCCCTGTCTCTAGAAGAAAGGCTGTCAAAGTAGACAGGAGGGGAAAACAGAAGCCCTTACCTGTCAGTGCCATTGAGCCCAGAGGTGGAAGATACCTGCATCTTCTCTAAAGCCACCACAGGAAAGCTGTCGGACAGATAATAGCACACTCAGGCCCCATCTGGGTACAAGAGGCTGATGCCCAGCCAAACCCAGAAGTATCCCAAATCTCCCACTCATGGAGTGGAAAGGATCTCGCCTCAGACCACAGCCAACCAGTGACATGTCTGTGAGAAGCCATGAATTCAGGTTCCCACACAAGCCTGTGATGAGCCTAGAGGCAGAAAGCCACTTCAGTGCAGGCCTATGACCATGACCCTGAAATGGGGCCTTGGGGGAGTGGGAGGAAAAAGACAATACAGCTCCCAATCAGGCTTCATCTTACCCGTGTTCCTGAAAACGTCTGTAGTCGTATTCATCAAAGACTGGGCACCAAGCATAAAGATTGATGGCAGCCACGGCACCCGTGACGAGCAGCATGAGCGTGAGCTTCACCATGTGGCTGACCTGCACCAGCATGATAGTGGCGATGAGGGACAGCACGGCAACATAGTTGTAATACTTGGGGTTCTCCAGGCAGCCGCCCTCCAGCTCCGTCCCTGCCGTCCCGTTGCGGGGTCCCGTGTAGTACTGGAGACAGCTAAGCTGGAGGCCAGGACAGTCAGGAGGGAACAGGCAGACGCTGGTCAGAGAGGCCTATGCCATGGCTGTGTAAACCAGCTGCCACCTCCCCTAGCTCCCTCAGAAACCCCAAGAAAGATGGGGAAGTGTGCCAGGGAATAATTGTACAAAAGTTAATAACTGCTATTAAGAGCTTTACCATCATCTCACTGACATTCACAAAAATTCTCTGAGTATTTTTAGTACTGCCCCTACCATAGAGAAAACTTAGAGAGGCTGGACTTGCCCAAAGTAGCACAATTAGCAAGTGGTAAAGCTAAGAGCTTTACCATCATCTCACTGACATTCACAAAAATTCTCTGAGTATTTTTAGTACTGCCCCTACTATAGAGAAAACTTAGAGAGGCTGGACTTGCCCAAAGTAGCACAATTAGCAAGTGGTAAAGCCAGAACTAGAAGTCAGTGCTTAGGCTTCCATCCCACATGCTCTTTCCCACATCCCACTGTTGCTTCAGGAGGGGCCGTGGGGCCTGTCAGACTCCACTCCCAGCTTCCCTGTGATGACAGCCAATCTCTGCCTAAATACTTCCATGTGGGGGAAACTCACTACCTTCTGGAGCCTGTTCCACACTGGCTAGATGTAGGCAATAGAACCAAACCTACTTGTAACTTTCACCCACTGGGGCTTGTCTGGCTTTGGGTATGTTCTCAGCATGTAATTCTGACATGTGCAAGGCTTTTGAACCTCCCTAGTTTTTCAACCCTCCATGGGTGACAGCATCTCTAGATGTCCTGCAGTGTTTGTGACTCATTAACAGTGGTCCCCAGATGTGGGCACTAGGCTCCAGATGTATTCTGACATGCAAGGGGTCTGGGACTTCTCTCTATGGTGGGCACCATGCAATTCATGGGCATGTGAGATTCTGGAGCCCCTAATTCCTCATTCCAGTTGGACTTTTGACCAATTAGTCACAGCCCTAGAGCTTTTTCACTATGCTACTGCCAGACTAAGTCTTCATGCTGATTTTATTTCTGTGATTAAACTGTTAAAAGCAAATAACATAACATTATATTTGAAAGAAGGAGGACTTTTGAAGAGAGTGCATGTGGTACCTCCAAAACTGGAAGAAGTCGGGACAACTGACAAGAGAGTATCAGTGGCAGCTGCAAGCATTCAATGCTCCATAAATGCCTGGTTGTTCTAAATCACTGGACCTGGGCTTCCAGCTCCAGTCCCTTCTCCCCAAGAAAGCATCTGGCTGCCCCTCAGAGGACTCCCCAGCTTCTCCATGAACTGAGGAGCACAGAGAACAGAAGATGGTTTTGTCTGCTCCTGGCCATGTGGATGCTGTGAAGCTCCTGTCCCCACTGACCCACCTGGGGGAAGGCTAAACAGAGGAGAGCTCCTGTCATGGGACAGGTTTATCTCCCTGGTCCTGGTGGATACCCAACACTAGGCACACTGTAAGGAACACTTAAGATATGCAGAATGCTTCAGAGTATCATGCCCTGTAAGCAGTGATACAAGGAAGGAAAAAACAGGATTGGGACTTTGAACTGCTTCAATTCTTGACTCACTTACTGGCTGTGTGACCTACAACAAGTGAATTAACCTTTCTTTGCCTTAGTTTATATGAAACTATGGATGCTGATACCAGCCTCTTCGGATCGTTATAAAGATTAAATGGGTCATCGTATGTAAAGCACCTAGCAGAGGGCTGGGGCATGGGACTGGGCTCTTGGACTCTGTGAGAGGGAGGAGCTGCAAGGAAACAGGCCAGT